TTAAAGGCTTAAACAGCTTTGTTTTTTTTTTCTTCCTTGACATCTCCCAGTGCTAGCAATCAATGGGATGTATAAAAGTGAAACTAATGTTGATATTAAAGGAAATTACAGCATTTGCTGCTCAGGGGGATGCTCCAGTGAGGCTTTTTTTCTTACTAGTGATAGCAGGTAGTAATGATGGAAAACATTGAGTAGGTATGCACTTAACATGAACTTGACAGAGAGATTAGGAAGCTTTCCTATTAAAACAGATATTTCTTGCTAATAAAATTCAATTAGCATGTCAGTCTTGACTTCAGGCACATTTTAAAGGAAGTGTCAATTTAATAATCACTCTTCAGTTTGAAATGTCATCCCTACTCTGATTACAAGTAAACTCTGTAACAACCATAATTAGGAGACTTTGGAGAGAGGAAGTTAGTTTGAATGTATTTGATTCTGTTTTGCAGCACCATGTGGAGTCCAGCAACTCCTTTTGCTACAGGTACAAGCACTCCTGCAGGCCCTGTATTTTCTCCACTTAAACCAATGCCGAAATCAGTGGGCTCACAGTTTTAAGGGTGAAAAGGTTTATGGTAATACAAATATTAACARCTACTAGAAAGAGCAGTAGTTGGCTGGATCAGTGAAAGCTGGTGACAGCACACGAGTGCCTGAGGAAATGCAGTTGGACAGGAGAGAGATTAACACAGAGGAACACTCACCATTCTAATGCCTGCACACGTCYGCAGCTGGAGGTGTGAGGAGGGTTAGGAAACAGCTCTGCTAAGGACAGCAAAAACCTTCTTCTCAAAGAAGAAGGCAAAAATGAGGAAGAAGGTTGCCCAGGCCCAGAGGACAAGAGAAAATTCAAACTGCGCAGTGTTAGTGGTGATGGCAAAGTGGCGGCAAAAACGATTTTGTGAGTATTGTGAGAGAAACAATGATGAACCGGGAATACTGCTACCTATAGAACAATTCATATTCATCTAGCAACTGCTAGAAGAGATTTGTGGTCTTTTGCATGCTGTATAGATTTGTACAGCTGCTTGTGCCAATAAGGCTGTAGGGAAACAAACCAGAAGTAAGAAGTTGTTTGTCTCAGTACATCACCAGTGCGCCCTTGACTGAAGCAGAAAGTCATCTCTGTGTCCTGGACACTGTCAAAATTTGAATTACCAGCTTTTTGCCTCACTAAGWCACTCAAAATTAGGGATCCTCTTCAGGACAAGCATTTCCCAGTAAAATCTCAATATCCTATGGGGTTTTTTTTGGTTTTTTTTGCTGTTGAAACAAACTGAAAGGACTGAGAGTCCTAAATGAGAAGGTTCAAAATCACAGAGAACTGCCCTGACTGCTACTTTGCCTTACGGGCTTTCACTTTTAATGTGGCCTTTTTGTGATGAAGGAATGTCACTGTTTGGTCTAAGTGCAGAATAGCAGCTGAATACTGAAGGGATTTTCCAAAAAAAGATAACTTTGCTAGCCTAAGTGGATATACATTTGGGAATGCTTCGCCTTGTGACATCTTTGCTGAGAATAAATAAGTGATACATTTAGGGTGGGCTAGCATCAGCAATGACAGATTCCACGTTATTGCCAAAAGGCCACAACTTCATTAATATGACACCTAAAGGCACCTTCCTGACAGCTGTGGAAARAGGAGGTAATGACAGTAGCCTACAGCACTCATCAGCCTCTCCTCCCTTTCTGGCACTGCAGAACAAGAGACAYTGCAGTGGGCCAGAGCAGCCCTGCCAAACCGGGTGAGATTGCCTAATCACCTCTCCCYGCTTCCTGCAGCTCCCTGCAGCAGGAAACCAGATCCCTTCTTATCTGCCAATGGCTCTGCCCTCTGTCTCCATCGGCAGGAATATTCCCTCGCTGTGAAGCCACACCTCGGCYGGGCTATCAGTAGCCAATGTGAGCCAGGGAATGAGAACAGCGGTGGGAAGGGGTGGAAAGCTGCACAACAATTCCTGTGGGCGATGACCAGGTGCCTGCTACCACCAGCAGCACCTGTGGGAGATCAAGCAGGACCTTTCCTTCACTCTGTAAGCAAACTCTTCCACTCCCACATTGCATGTGTCTTGARAGCAAACCATGGTGCAGCCTTTCCCTGCCATGGGGGAAAGCCAATGCCATCCACAGCTACATCCCAACATAAATTTATAGCAACTAACACAGAGAATACAGCTCACGCACATGCAAGAAAGCAATATAGATTAACATGACATTTTTTCCTGCTATAAACAAGTACACAAGGAATCGTTTCACCTATTTATCTCTGTTCATGACKCATATTCTTTCTGACATGTCTCAATCTCAGAGGTCAGCAAGTGTTYCTTGAAAACTAGTGATGTGGTTGGTTGGTCCAGGCTGATGTGCTCACAAATTAATACTCTAGGTCTTGAGGTTTAACTCTAACCAAGGAGAGTTAAACCTCCAGTCAGTGCAGAGGGACTGACCCCTCTGAGGGGCACTTCAGACCTGAGACAACATTCAAAATCCCCCATGGAAGACCCATTGGGAGAGACTGAGRTTAACCTTGGGACTGCTCCCCTCTTACTACATCTGCTACTGAACACTCGTACTAAGAGCAATCCCAGGGGCAGCTGAGAAGCTACTGAACTTGGATTTGCACCAGACAACATTACTGGTGAAAAACACATTAAAAGTGCACGACTGGGGCAACCTGACTCCCCAGCGCCTGCAAAGATAGGAGCTGTGTTCTGACCAGAGGAAAGGRACAYAGTATCTCCACCTGCCTGGTGGAAAGTGCCAGGCTCCTCACCYAAGCTGTGTACGGAGTCTGTTCTGTTTGCAATGAAAAGTGAAGGGGAGTGCAACATTTAGACTTGTGGAGGGAAGGACAGTAATGAAAATACGCTCCCTATGGTGGAGATGCACAGACTTGGCAGAACCTTCCTCCTTTGGACGGGTTCACTCCTGCGTGGTTTGGTGCTGTGTCTCATACTCAAGTCACTCAGCTGTCATGGGACTAGTAGTGTCCTTAAGGTAAACTGTACCTTTCCAAGCATGGGATAAAAAGAGAGACGGTGGAGTCTGTAAATGTAAAGTAGTAATAATAGACTGGGAAAAGTAAAGGAAGCACGAGCACTGGCTTCTGGTAGCTTTGCTGAGAYTGAGTAGGGATACACTACCCAAACTAAGGTGATGTTTTCAAGGCAAGAATACCTGCACAGCTCTTGTCCCATCTAAGCTGATCAGAGAGTAGATGCAACTGGGAGGCTGTGGAAGGTACAATCTAAAATTCTGCCCCTTGCAGTTTTTACCTGTTATGTATGGTTCAATTCACTGACTTATCATGTTCCTAAGAGAAAGGCTGAATGAACGAACGCCTGAGCTGATTTCCTCAGAGGTGTCTCCTGGCCCTGCCTGGTGAATGCTATACTGCTGGTTTTTAGTCCTTTTCTTGTGATCCACACCCATTTGGGTGGCTGCTGCTCTTTCGGAAGCATTAAAACTTAAAAGTTCTCTCCTGCTTTATTAATCTCAAGTGGAATATTTAAATACCTTTCAGTGGCTTATAAATAACATATCATGACTCCCCCAGGTAGGAAGAGCAGCACAGCCCATGCTGCATTACAAGAGCTAAAAGCCTCCTTCTTGCAGAACAAATTCAAGAATATGGGGTACAAATAACCCAGTAATTTTAGTAGTGGCTCATCTTGGGTCCAAAAAATATTTTTAGTAGTCTTTGAGCACTCCCCCTGGACCTGTGACAGCTCTCATGTCCCTGCTTGTGACCCACTGGGTCACACCTGAATTTCAAGMCCCCCAGGAAGTGTGGGGTAGTAATGGTGAGATTGGGGCAGGCTCTGTGCCTTCCTCCCCCAAGCCTAGGGCTGGTACCCATTTCAAGACAAGTCAGAAATAGAAGCCGAAGACCTGAGCTGACTTTGTATCATGGTGTGTTCCCCTTTCCAGAGGCAAAGCATGAAGGCACATGAACGGTCCATCCCAAAACCCAGCAGCAGGACCAGCAGAGTTTATCAGCTCAGACTCTGGTTTCTGTGAAATCAGCTGTATYGCCCCCCCTGGACCTAAGCTTGTCCTGGGAGTGGGGCCGTTCCATCTGCAGAGCGTGGGGTATGTGTACCACCAGGCTGGCAGTGATGCTCTCTGCAGCTCGGGCCATTTGACCAGAGGTAATTAAAAGCTGCCTCTATGTGGTCATGTAATGACAGACTGTACCACAACACACAAGGGCAAGGATGACAAGTTAAGGTCAAGTGGGCAAACAAGCTGCTGTCTAAACTGTGGAATGCCTGCATTTGCATCTGCCTGGCTCTCCTTTCACAGTACCTCTTTCAGTGGTATTTACCACCAATAATTTAGAGTTTGCGTTCAGATTTCATGCCTGCTTGTTAGGCACGTTCACCTTTCAGAAGTGTGTGTACGCAAGCTGAGCTGTGTTGCGTCAGAAGCAGCGCTCCTTGTCTGACGGAAACCCAGCTTTCCCTGGCACCTCCGAGGAACACGGTGCCCAAGTGCACGCACCTGACTTCAGAGCGTGCAACAACCTCCGCGGTGCCCAGGAGGTGACACCAGCGGGCGGCCACCACCCTCCCGCAGCAGCTGGGCCTTGCAGAGTTGGGTTCTGCCCCTCGAGACAGCTTCTCTCGCTTCTTCTGCGCACCTGAGCAGCGCTCCCGCCGGACGGAGACGGGCTGGGCCGGGGGCGAGGAGGCACAGTCCGCCCGGAGCAGCGCTCCCCGCCCGACAGACGCCGCCGGWGCCTCCGCCGCCCGCGCACCGGGAGCGCCGCGCCGTGCCCGCCCCGCAGCGCCTCCCCGCGGCGGCGGGAGCTCGGCACCGCCCCGGTCCCCCCCCGCCCCCGCCCCGCCGCTCTCCCGGGCGGGAGGCTCGGCGGCTCGCTCCTCCTCGCGGCCGCGGGATTCCTCTCTCCGGGTTTTCGGGCCGCCCCTTCACACCCGCCGCCGGAGCGGGACGGCGTGAGGGCGAGCGAGCGGGGCGGCGCGGATGCGCCCCGGCTCCCGCGGCGGCAGCGGCAGCGGCGGATGCTCGGCGGTGCGGCGGCCGCTCCGCAGCACAGGAGCCCCGCGCAGGGAGGGAGCGAGGCGATGAGCCGCCCGCCGGCGGCCGCCCGCGAGTGACGGCGGCGGGCAAGGAGCGGCGGCGGCCAGGAGGAGGAAAAGGACGAGAAGGAGGAGGAGGAGGGCAGCGATCCCCGCCAGTGCCCGCGGGAGCCCGGGAGAGCTCCGGCCGAGGGCTCGGCCATGCCGTTCGCCAAGCGGACCGTGGAGCCGCAGCGGCTGTGCCGGCGGCAGCCCGCCGCCTCCGTGCTGGAGGAGAGCTGGGGCGCGGAGCCGCCGCCGCCGCCGCGGGACCCGCCGCCGGAGGAGCCGGGAACGGCGAGCGAGGGCGCCGAGGCGGCCGGCGGCGGGGAGAAGGAGGCGGCGGCGGTGCTGATGGTGCTGGACCTCTGCTCGGTCAGCAACGTAGCCCTGTCGCGGATCCTCCGACAGCTCTCCGACGTGGCCCGGCACGCCTGCACCCTTTTCCAGGAGGTCGAGGCTGACATCCAGGGCACCCACCGCCGCGTACGGGCGCTGCACGGCCGCATCGCCGGCCTCCAGGGAGCCGTGCGCGGCCTCGACCCCAAGCAGGAGGCAGTGCGTAAGTACCGCGGAATGCGGGATGGATGGGGAGCGCCGCGGGATGGATGGGGCGCACCGCGGGATGGATGGGGCGCACCGCAGCCCGGGCGCCCGGCGGGGAAAGCCATCCCCTGGCAACCTGCCGTGCAAAGTTTGGGGCCAGAGTCGGTGGGAAGGGAGCCCCGGCGGGGCAGCAGAGGGAAGAGAACGGGCGGGCGCGGGTCGGGTCGGGTCTGTGGGCGCCGCTGGGCGCCGCGGCGATGCCGGCGGGAGGGATGATGTCAGTGGTTTGTGCCTTACGTAAGGAGCTGGCTGACGGGGCTCTCGGGACGCATCTTCTGCAGCCAAGGGTTTGGCTGGGGAGGGGGACGAGGTCTGTCAGCCAGGCGCCGGGGCTGATGGAGATGATCCGCCGCATTCTTTGGGCATCTTTGGGTTTTCGCCCTTTGCCGGCCTGTCCCCCTTCCCCGACAGATACCTTCCCCTTAGAAGTGTCTCTGAATTTTCGATCGAAATGTTAAGCTCTTAAGTAGAAATAATAAAACTGCTTCGTCGTTACCTAACTTTCGGGGCCATAAAATAAGGAAGTTTGGCTAATGACTTCTTTCTGTTTAAAGAGTGTCC